TACAGAACCACAGACAAAATTATAGTTTTGTATATTCTAATTTTTACGTTTTTGGACAGCAGACGAGAAGACAAAAGGTTTTGGACTGAATGGTAGCAAGCATCACCCGAGTTCAATCGCCTCTTAATTTTTCCCTGAATCAGGTTTCGATCTGTTATCGTTGTTCCCAAATATCTGAATTGTGCCACATTTTCTAAACATCTGTTTCCTATCAATATTAGAGTTAATTTTACCGACCACACAACACGTTTTTTATTTACTGTCACACTACATGTTTCGACCTCAAGAGGTCATCTTCAGGTATACGAACACAGTTGCACAATCACACGCAATCATCCTCGTTTTTCCACTTATTTTGATCCTGTATCCTGTTCAGGTCCACGCTCAATAATATGTGTCAAGTTCTTCTTATAAAATATAAGTTAAAAATACAAATGTTAAAAGTTAAAATTTAAAATTTAAAATTTAGTTCACTGTAACTAGTTATACGTATTATTACCACTTGGTTAAAAANNTTTTTAACCAAGTGGTAATAATACGTATAACTAGTTACAGTGAACTAAATTTTAAATTTTAAATTTTAACTTTTAACATTTGTATTTTTAACTTATATTTTATAAGAAGAACTTGACACATATTATTGAGCGTGGACCTGAACAGGATACAGGATCAAAATAAGTGGAAAAACGAGGGTGATTGCGTGTGATTGTGCAACTGTGTTCGTACACCTGAAGATGGCCTCTTGAGGTCGAAACATATAGTGTGACAGTAAATAAAAAACGTGTTGTGTGGTCGGTAAAATTAACTCTAATATTGATAGGAAACAGATGTTTAGAAAATGTGGCACAATTCAGATATTTGGGAACAACGATAACAGATCGAAACCTGATTCAGGGAAAAATTAAGAGGCGATTGAACTCGGGTGATGCTTGCTACCATTCAGTCCAAAACCTTTTGTCTTCTCGTCTGCTGTCCAAAAACGTAAAAATTAGAATATACAAAACTATAATTTTGTCTGTGGTTCTGTATGGGTGTGAAACTTGGTCTCTGACATTAAGGGAGGAACATAGACTGAGGGTGTTTGAGAACAGGGTGTTGAGGAGAATATTAGGACCGAAGAGAGATGAAGTGACAGGAGGTTGGAGAAAACTGCATAATGAGGAGCTTCATAACTTGTACTCTTCTCCAAGTATAATTAGAATGATCAAGTCAAAGAGGATGATGTGACCAGGGCATGTAGCACGAATGGGGGAGACGAGGAACTCGTATAGGATATCCGTGGGAGGGCTAGAAGGAAAGAGACCACTGGGATGACTAAGGCGTAGGTGGGTGGACAATATTAAAATGGATCTTAGAGAGATAGGATGGGATGGTATTGATCTGGTTCAGAATAGGGACCAGTGGAGGGCTCTTGTGAACACGGTAATGAACCTTCAGGTTCCATAAAATGCTGGGAAATTGTTGAGTAGCTGCAGAATTGGCGGCTCCTCCAGAAGGGCTCAGCTCCATGTGTAAGTAAGTAAGGATTTCCATAAACATGTCTCCATTAAATATGATATTTTGAGTTTGGAGTCGGGATAGCCCAGTCGGTATAGCAACTGGCTAGGGGCTGGACGACCGAGGGGTCGGATTTCGAGTCCCGGTAGTGTCAAGAATTATCTCTTCTCCACGTCGTCTAGACAGACTCTGGGGCCCATCCAGCCTCCGGTACAGGGATAAAGCGGCCTGGGCGTGACGCTGACCACCACCTCGCAACTAGTGCCGAGGTCAAGGAAATGTGCATTTTTACATCCACTCCCTCATACGGCTTCATCGCGTAGTGCTCAATTAGTTAAGTACAGTTGCAACTTTATACTTTGCGATATTTTGAGTTTGTATAAGATGTTAACATCATTCAACATTCTTCTGATTCAGTAACCTCTCTCCGGGTTATAAATATTGTCAGATGAACGCTATGGGGCAGAGTCCTCGAGAAGGCAATAGTCTCTCAGTAGGTCAAGCAATGCATGTCGTGTTTCCATACGAGATGAACGCTCATTATGTTTACAAGGGCTCGCCACGGGTTCCTTCCCTCAGCCAGATGAATCCCATCAGCATTGTCATTCTATTTCATCTTCTCACAGGCCTCCCAAATCACATGCGTACTACATGCCAAACCCATATCACTCTTTTTTTTTTTTAATTTTCGGCGAAGATTACGGATTAGGAAGTTCCTTAGTACGTGTTCCTACTTTCCTGTTACTTGCTCTTACGTAGAAATGAGTCAGCATCCTGTTATTCGACATGTTCCTCCTTTCGGGTGAGAAACCCATTTCATACCCATAAGAAATAACGGGTAAAAGTACAGTTGTTTAATTCTATCTATACCTTTTCTTTGTTTTGTTTCCCTTCTTTGTGTTTGTCGAAGACAAAAAAAAGGTTTCTAAATTGAATACTAGTATCGGTTATTATATCCGTTTCAATCCACAGTTATTTGTACGAAAGACATTGCTTGTTGCATGATGATTATGTCATCGTAAAAGGTTCAAAGCTCCCAGACAATGTCAGCATGACCGAAGTTATTCTTGTACATAGGCTGAATGTGGTTCTGTTTCAGAATATCGTGTTCATGTCCTTGTGTAAGCACGGACCAGTGAAGGGATTTTCATATAAATGGCACGAAGGTATATTTCTAACGCAAATCTGCCATAATATGAGCCAAAATACATGCTTACCTCGAAGATATTGCAGGTTCGGTTCCAGACACCGCAATAGAGCGAGTAACACGAATTTTTTTGCTTTCCCAGTGCATATAAAAAAGCCGATCCCAGTGGCCGCTCGGTCTAGGGCATGAAGTGTCTTCGCCCACTCAAACACTGGGATCGTGGGTTCGAATCCCATTCAGGGCATGAATGTCTGTGTACTTTCGTTCTGTATTTGTGTGGTCCTGTGTGCAGGAAACGGCCTTGAGACGGGCTGATCCCCGGTCCAAGGAGTCCTACCTACTGTATAAAAAGATCAATAAACTGAAAAAGCGGCCAAGGTCGAACATAAGGGCTGTAGAGCCATAGGTAGGTAGTGTACATAGAAGATATGTTTACACCTTACTATAGTCTATTAAGCGTGCAATAGCATTATGTCTAACGTACATACCTTAATTAAAATATACTTTATTGCTAAAAAATGGTAACCATGATCTGAGCTTTCAGCGAGTCGTAATCTTTTTGCTGATGGAGGGTCTTGCCTCGATGTTGATGACTGCTGACTGATCAGGGTGGTGCTTGCTGAAGGATGTGGTTGTCGCAGTTTCTTAAAATAAGACAGCAATGAAGTTTGCGGAATCCATTTCCCATGGCAGTGAATATTAAGATGAAAACTCAACAGTGTTTGATAGATCCCCGTAAGTTTCTCTTATACCCTAAAAAGATGGTGGAGTGTTTTTTTCGAAACACTGATATACCCTCGTATCTACCAAACGCCGTCCGAAAAGACAATCGTAACCTGAAGATTTATATCTGCAGACTGTTTAGACATAGCTGGGTTCTCAGATGTTATGGAGGCGAATCAGATACACAAAATCAAACAAAACTGTGTAGCATTATTCTCAGACCACTCTGACTAACCCCTTCAATAATGAAATTTTCCAAGACGCCAATGGACAAAAAGTTGGATACGTTTGTTCGTTTTGCCTGCAGTAAACCTCGCATCACCTCACCTCAGAAAGAGAACTCTGAAATTTTGAACATTTGTACGTACATCTCTAGCACGAGACACTAGAATTAGGCCTGGGCAAGATCTTATTAACTGGGGCTGTCTGAGACAGAAATGCCCAGTCAGTATAAGCTGCGGTCTAAGCCGGTGTAGTTCGGTCGGGTACAGCAACTATGCTACGGGCTGGACGACCGATGAATCGGTGTTAGATTTTCATAGGGCGCAAGAGATATTCCTCTTCTCCATTTACGTCCACACTAGCAATCTTGCCCACCTAGCCTCCTACATAATGGGAACCGGAGCGTGAAGCTGATCGCTCACCTCCACCTACTGCCAAGGTCTCCATGACATTATACTTATTTCAGCACAGGGATAACTTTATCTTATCTTCTGGAATATAATGCCATGTAGACCGTCGAAAATCAACATGTAGCCTCCATTTTCAGGGTTTAAGAGTAAGCCAGGTAATAAATCGGCATGAAGCATGCAGCAAGCAAGTTTGAGATTTTCTCCATAAATGAAGCTATACAAGAATTCTGTGTATTTATAATCTAAGAGGCAATATAACTCCCACCTTTGTACATGGCACACATGAAAGTTAACCAGAACGTATTATAAACCTTTCCCACAAACTTTCATTGTAACCTGACCAGCACCCGTTAACTCCAGTGTGAACTAAAAGTAATCTGCTTCAATATTTTGGCATGCAGACCCCGTTGTTAAGTAACGGCTCCGCAATAAAGCACGTTTCCACGGCAGCAGAGGAAGGGTGTTTTCTACGCTGTCTGTGCTGAGATGTCATAAGGACAAATTAGGAGCCGCCAGTCTGAGGAATGTAGTTGGCGAGTGAGTGAGGAGTTGGTGTGTTAGAGAAATACTGGGGTTCAGTTATCTCGTTGCTGTTGAGGCAGGGCATAGTTTAGGAACCCAGAGGAAGGGGGATGTCTGCTGTGGAAGCCGCTACCAAGCAACGGCTAGTGATGACTGTTAACAGACTGACAACAAATATGTCCCACAGTGATTTGTGAAGTGTCAACTGGCGAGAGCAATACAATTACTTGTAGCGACGATCTGAAAGTTTTCGGTAAATGCCATTACCAACCCAAACACCCATCTCTAGTCACTCCAACACGAGACAATATACACCCTGCTTAACCAAACTGAACTCATTAACGAGCTGATCATATTGAATTATTGGACTGTTGCCAGATTGTTGATAGATGCGCGACTAACAGGCGCCACTAGCATGTCCATTTTTGTATGAAATATCACATGACGAGGACAAATTGTACATACAACAAACAAGTTCAAACAGATCTTCCGCCAACCTAGTTCTCCATTTATTATATAATTGTTCAACATAATACATATACACCGTGTACTACACACTGTTCTGTGTATTAAAAATATAAAGAATAGAAATGAAAAGAGCATCATATATGTAATGATGCAGAACAAATATAATAGCAAATATTCTGAGGGTAATGTTGTAAATGGGTGAATTTAAAAATTTGTCAATCAAACTGGTGAAACATTCATGTTTTAAAATTATAAATACTTTCAAAATCTCATTACTTTCTGCCTCTCAATTTCCTGTTAAGCCATGAAATAATTTAGGCAGTGAAAGAGCTACAGCCAATTACATGTGGGGTATCCATTTAACACATAGAGTAGGGTCTCTGCAGCATTACAATCTGACATCACACCATCTGCACCTTACGAGCGCGTCATTAAGATGTCAAGTAATGTCCTACTGCAGAGCAATAACCTACATCTCTGTGTAACTAGTGCAGCAGATGTGACACCATGAAGACTGTTATGAAAGATGAGTAGACAGTATATCCAAATAAATTTCTACAACACATAAACAGAAACGACACAAAGCATAAACTAATGTTCTTAGTTATATTTAAGTACTTTCACTATTAATTAAATTACTAATGACCAAATGATGATGTTAATTCGCTTACAAGCCAGTAAAGTTCTGGATGAATGTTTTACTAAAGAGCTTCTCCTACTGAGTCTATTGGATTGCTATACAAAACTGAAGTGTCAATTTCCCAATGTTGATCAGCACATCACTTTATCAGCCCTTTAGCTTTCAACAGATCTCGCATGAGCCCTTTCAGGTACTTAATCTCCCTCGACAAGTCACTGACTTTAAGCTGTAGTTCGGCATTCGTATCCTCCAGGTCTTTCTCTTCGCTTAGAATCTCTTCGATCTCTGCTTTCTTCTTCTGCCTGTAACGTGTCGCAGCGTTCTTGTTTTGCTCCTTCTTGCGCAAACGTTTCTCTTCGATTCCAGGGCGGGAATAAGGTTTGGTACCACCCCGTTTACGTCCATTCTTTAAGCGATCTGGCGCAGGCAGCTGGACTGATGTTGGAATCCATTCAGGATCATCGCACGTCTCCTCTGCAACGTCACAGCTGCTGCCACTGGAGCTGCTGGTACAGGGACTGGGGGGTGCCTCCGTCAATGTTTCTCCTTCTGACTCGCCCCCCGGGCTCGAACTGGAAACATTTCCACTACTGCACGATTCCCATGGATCTGGTATACACAGACCGCTGCCGATGTCTACAAGGTCCTCAACGCGGGTGCGTACAAGTTCATCAACTGCTGCTAGTTCCTGAACCAGATCTGGTGATGGCGTTTCAGGAGCTATTTGCTCCAGGGACAAGAGTGTTTCTTTCTGTTCAGTGCAATGTATTACAGGCACCAAGGGAGTAAGGGGCATCTTCAATGTGGACAATGCTGATGGAATTGGTTGAAATGGTTGAATGGGAACCATTTGCTGGAGTGTTATCAATTCTCCTCCTTTAGGATCTTCAGGAATAACATTAGTGTAGATGGGAACTGGGGGACTCTGGGGTGGTGTGAGGGTGCCATGAGTCAGCTCAACTTCATCGAACACTGTCTCAAACTCGCGAAGCAGAGACTGGGTATCCTGAGGCACCACTATCTGTGGTGTTTGTACTGTCTTAACCTCTGCTGGTGCATGGATCGTAGATGGAATGCTTGTAAAAGAAAGCACTGTTGCAGTCGGTAAAGACTTAGAAGAAACATCCACTCCACCCCGGAGACTGTGGCCATAGCTGCGAGACTCAAAGCTTGGGAGTTCTTCAAATATTGGTAGGTCGATCTTCTCCTCCAGCCAATCAGAGAAAGGCTCTGAAAATAGAGAAATAATATTCTCAAGAATTTTTTTCCACATGACGTGTGTTCTTTAAACAATTAACTCCTTTACCACATCAAATGATATATCTGCATAACGGCCTACACCATTTGACTGGATTCAGAAGCACAAGTAGATATACGTGAATATGTTTTGAATCATGAATGCATTGTTAACATTGCAGTCCTGGCTCCTAAGACTAAAATGTGCATAATGTTATAATTTCGTAAAAAAATGGCACCCACTATATTTGAAAATTCTGGTTAAAGAGTATTTTAAATTACTACCCTGATGTAGTCCACAGGCAAACTTTCAATCATATCTAATTCTGAGAATATAAAGACAAAGCTATAAAATAAAAATGGACTAACATACTTCACATAATTAGCGCTGAACAAATAACAAATCAATATGTAACTACTTCCTCATATAACAGAAAATGTTCTGCTGCAACAGCATCAAAATTGGGTCAATGTCCCTTCCAATTCGTAAACTGCATTCCTGCAGATCAAAAACATTTTAATGAGTACCTTTCAGTGAGACCTTACTTATGGCGCTGCCTTAATTACTGCACCAAATGAAGCAATTTACAAATGTATGGCATGTTTGCACACCATCATCTGCCTACACGTGTAGTGGATTTATCTAGTTTTAGGGAGAACCTGTGAAAGGCTCATGTGAACATAGTAATAAACGAAGAAAGCAGTCTTCTGGGCTTTGGCGCCGTGTATATGTGGTGTTAACCGACGTTTCGGAGGAACGTATCGCCCCCATCTTCATGGTTGAAGAAAAAGTATAGGTAAATCTGCAAGCGACAACACCGTGA